CTTTCATTTCTTTCTTTCCTTCTTTCCAGAGTCTTGCTCTGTTGCTTAGGCTGGAGTGCAGTGATGCGATCTCAGCTCACTGCAACCTCCGCCTCCTGAAATCAAGTGATTCTCCTGTCTCAGCCTCCTGAGTAGCTGGGATTACAGGCACCCACCACCAAGCCTGGCTAATTTTTGTATTTTTAGTAGAGATGGGGTTTCGCCATGTTGGTCAGGCTGGTCTCAAACCCCTGACCTCAGGTGATCTGCCTGCCTCGGCCTCACAAAATGCTGGGATTACAGGTTTGAGCCACCATGCCCAGCCAAGTTTTCATTTCTCCTGTTCTTTTCTCTTCGTTTTCCTTAAATGCCAAAGAGTGAAATTCCTGGCTCCTGGCAATTCTGTGTTTAACTTCTTGAAAAACCAACACACTGTTTCCCACAGTAGCTGCACCATTTTGTGTTTCCATCAGCAGTGCTCGAGGGTTCCTGTGTCTTGACATCCTCACCCACACCTTGTCTTTTCCTTTCTGTGTTGTTATGATTGTAGCTCCCCTCGTAGGTATGAAGTGGTATCTCTTATGGCTTTGATTTGCATTTTCTTAATGACAATGATGTTGAGCATCTTTTCATGTACCAGTTGGCCATTTGTATATTTTCACCGAAGAAGTGTCTATTCAAGTCCTTAGCCACCTTTTTAAAACATTTCTTTAAGAGTCTGGGTTTCACTCTGTCACACAGGCTGGAGTACAGTGGCATGATTAGAGCTCACCGTAACTTAGAACTCTTGGGCTCAAAGTATCCTCCCTCCTCAGCCTCCTGACTAGCTGGGACTACAGGCACAAGCCACCATGCCTGGCTAATTTTTCAATTTTTTTTTGTAAAGAACATGTCTCACTATGTTGCCCAGGCGGGTCTTGAACTCCTGGCCTCAAGTGATCCTCTTGCCTTGGCCTCTGAAGGCACTTGGATTACTGTGTGAGCCACTGCACCAGTCCTCTTAACAGCATGTTTTCTTCTAATCATTTTTCAGTGTTAGCTCTTGTATTTAGGTCTTTGCTTTGTTGGCATGTAATACACACAGAGGGGTGCATGAATTATACCTGTGCATCTTGATACATTTTAACAAACTGGACACACCCATGGAACCGGTGCCAAGTCAAGAAAGAGAACAGACCCAGTGCCCCAGACTCCCCCGTGAGTCCCCGAGGGCTACGGGGACTACCCTAGCCATGTAGATCACTTTACCTGATTTTGAACTTCCTCAACCTGGGGCCTGTTCTCTTGTGTCAAACTTCTTGGCTTGGATCAGTTCACCAGCATCCTCTGTGTTGTTCATTCAGGGCATGAGGATACAGGTGTGTTAGTCCACTCCTGTGATGCGTAACAGAATACCTGAAACTCCTGGGGAATTTATAAAGAAAAGGATGGATTTCCTACAGTGATGGAGGCTGCAAATCCGGGGTGGAGGAGGCACATCCTGTGGATGGTGGGAACTTTCTGCAGAGTCCCATGGTGACGGGCTGAGTGTGCTGGCTGGCTCAGAGCTTTCCTCCTGTCTTCAGAGCCACCCATCCCGCTCCCATGATGGCCCATTAATCCATGAATGGATCAGTCCATCCTGACAGCAGCACCTTCACAGTCTGCCCCCTCTCAACACTGCCACACTGGTGATTAGATTTCAACTTGAGTTTTGAAGGGGATGTTGGGAACAAATGCTCGGTGCCACAAAGAAGAATTAGCACTGAGACAAAGGACAAAGGGTTTCTCGGCAAGGCAAATTTACTTCCGCAGAAGGGTGCGTCTCATGTATGCAGCAATGGCGAGAGCACACAGAACAAAGGAAATCAGGGTTTTTATTATCTCTACTGCAGCTTCTGCCTCTGTGTGTTTCCCCTATTTTCTAGGGTCAGACCACACAGTCTGAACTAGTCCCGACTGGCTAAACATTTAAACTTTCTTAGATAAGGTAGGCACGTGAGGGGGGTGAGAAGCGAGAGAAAGGGGGTCAATTACAGAGGGACTAGGAAAGTAACCTATTCCCTAATAAGGAAAGGAATGTGGACTGGGGTTTGTAGCAAGTTCAGGCGTGCCCCGGCGTATTCAGACAAGTTGGGGCACAGCAAAGGCAAGGGGGTATTTGGAATTACAGTACAGAGAACAGGGAAACTGGCTAAGCTGTTTGAAGAGGGAACCTAACTGTATCTAACAGGGACAAACATTCAAGCTGTAGCAGCGAGCATGTGAGGAGGGGGTCCATGTACCAGACCTGAGATCCGTACCAGGCTGGGGGTTGATCACCTGCCAGGCCTGGGCATGGGCTTAAGCTCTGCAGTCCGGGGCCAGCCTCCTGGGCTATAACTGCAGCTCCACCACCTGCCGCTGTGTGAACTTGCTCACACTCTTCCACCTCTCTGTGCCTCTTGTGGTCAGTGAGAGTAATAATATACCCATAGCACTGCCACAAGGACTTGACAAGTTAATGTGTGTAATGAGCTTCTTGGCGCGAGCTGTGGAGACCATAGCCACTGCTGCTGTGGAGGGCTCAAGCCCATTGTCTTAGAAACTGTCCCAGCAGGCTGGACGCAGTGGCTCACACCTGTAATCCAGCACTTTGGGAGATCAAGGCAGGCAGATCACAAGGTCAAGAGATCGAGACCATCCTTGCCAACATGGTGAAACCCTGTCTCTACTAAAAATACAAAAATTAGCTGGTCATGGTGGTATGTGCCTGTAGTCCCAGCTACTCAGGAGGCTGAGGCAGGAGAATCACTTGAACCCAGGAGGCAGAGGTTGCAGTGAGCCGAGATCATGCCTCTGCACTCCAGCCTGGCAACAGAGTAAGACTCTGTCTCAAAAAAAGAAAGAAAGAAAGGAAGAAAGAAAGAAAGACAGGAGGGAGGGAGGGAGGGAGGGAGGGAGGAAGGAAGGAAGGAAGGAAGGAAGGAAGGAAGGAAGGAAGGAACTGTCCCAGCAGTGTTCTCTCTTGATTCACATGTGGCCGTGCCGTGTAGACATGCCACGGAGACAGCAGGGTTTGTTTGCCCTGCAGGGTTGCTTTCCATCCCCTGTGGCTATCACAGAACTCCTGCTGTTAGAGGAAGTCAGTGTGAAGTTGGGGCACCTGGATTAAGCAGGCGTGAGGACAGGTCACAGGCCACAAACTCAGGAATACTCATTATGAATGCAGTGAGCCGGCAGTTGACAACTGTGATGTTGATACCTGGTGACTTTTATTTTTAAAACTACAAAGCTGTCTCAATCTCTGATTTACACTTAAGAGTGCTACTCAGACCAGGCCAGGTGCGGTGGCTCACGCCCGTAATCCTAGCAGTTTGGGAGGCTGGGGAGGATGGATCAGGAGATCGAGACCATCCTGGCTAACACAGTGAAACCCCGTCTCTACTAAAACCACAAAAAATTAGCTGGGCGTGGTGGCGGGTGCCTGTAGTCCCAGCTACTCAGGAGGCTAAGGCAGGAGAATGGCGTGAACCCAGGAGGCGGAGCTTGCAGTGAGCTGAGATCACGCCACTGCACTCCGGCCTGGGTGACAGAGCGAGACTCCGTCTCCAAAAATAAAAATAAAAAGAGTGCTACTCAGACCACTGGACATTTGAATAATTGTGATCAGCGAAATGATCATTTCACCCACATTCTGGGGCCAGATGCTGTGGCGTGACCTTCTGTCCAGAGAGATCCCTGCACCTGGTGCTCCCTGACATGGCCCAGGTGCCAGGCCCTGCGCTTGAGAGGCTAGCCATCTAGTGGGGAAGAATACACACAAGTAATCCCCATACAGTGTGGAAAGGGGGCTGTGAACACCCAAATTATGGAAGCGTTCAGGGAAAGCTCCCGAGAGGAGGTGGCGTTTGGGATGAGAGAGCAGTCAGGGTGGCAGGGGTGGGAGAGTGGGAGGGCTGCTCCAGTGGAGGGGGCAGCTGGTGCCGAGGCCCGGGCCCTGGAGGGCAGACAGGACTGAAGTCAACCTCCTCATCTGCGGGAAGGGCCCCTTTGCTGGAAGACTCATGGCCTTATCACCTGGCTGGGATTTTGGCAGAGGAGGCCACACCAGGCTCTGCGCAGGAGAAAAACCTGCTCTGGGGCTTTTCCTCCCAATACACAGAGGCCACCTCAGGGGCTGTTTTTATCCTAGGGGAGGCACAGGACAGGGAAAACTGGATGCTCAAAACGACATTTCAGCCGTTTACTTACTGATTCAGGAAACTGGTTATTACAAATTCAAATGTAGGTAGGGATTAGGAAACTTCTTCCCATTCCCATTTTAGGGAAGAGTGAGCCACAGGGATTTAGCCTCCGCATTTAGCAACAGGCTGCACCCACCATGCCCTCGGGGTAGGAAGTGTGCGCTGGAATGTGGGGGTGAAGGCAGCATTTCGGGGTGGGTTTTTTTTTTTTCCCTCCAGGCAAAAATAAGCCAAACCAGGCAATGTAATTTGTTTGGGTTATTTCAGTATTAGCATTTGTAATCTAATTTAATAAATTTCAAGAATGATAAAAACAAAATGCTCGTTGAACATACAGAACAATACAGAGATATGAAAAGGAAAGTATTCATCCTTTTTCACCCCACTCCCCTAATTTCTGCACCTGGGGAAATCGTGTTATCTTTCCCTCCCCTCCCTCTCCCCTTTTCTTCCTCCTCCTCCTGCCTCTCCGGCTCCCTCTGGAGATATCAAGGCCCCTGTGTGGAGACCGCCTGGTGGAGGAGGCAGACCCCTCCTGGACTACCCCAGCAGGGAGCTGCACACTGGGCTCCTGCAGCCTGGGCAAGTGCAGCCAGGTCCCCCCCTGCCTCCCCACAGGGCGCCTTGGTCAGCCTGGGGCACCCCCTGGGTCTGGGCTCCGCTCAGGGGTCTTGGGTCACGATGGTGGGGGCGGGTCCTTCCCGTATCCCCTGAGTGCCTGTGCGCAGAGCGTGCTGTATCCGTGCCGGGCACTGTGACCCAGCTGACCTTTCTGGCTTTGGTAGAAACACTCTGTTTTGTGCTTTTTTTTTACAGGCCGGGGAGAAGCACTACCACCCTTCCTGCGCGCTATGTGTCAGGTGCGGCCAGATGTTCGCAGAAGGCGAAGAGATGTATCTTCAAGGTACAAATTAAAATGTGTTGTTTGGTCCCCTAGAGCAAGGAACTGCACTCTGCGAGGTCCACACCGCATGCTGGGTGTGAATGGCTTGGTTACAGCGTCAGCTCGCTAGGTCACGAACAGCCCAGCCACAGCGGGGAGCCGGCAGGGCAGGGTGGGGGCACGTGCCAGGCCAGCCTCCTCAGCCTGCCTTGTCTGTCCAATGATCTCAGCAAGCCCGAGACCAGCAAGAAAGGAAAAGGGCCCAGCCAAAGACCAGCACACAGAAGTGCTAGCTATTTGGCTCCAAGTAGCAAAGCTTAAACAAATACAGCCTGTTCACATCCATTACCTCTTTAGGCCCCTTCTGGACAGCCACCCCGGCTCAGGGAGTCCGAGTTAGGAGGAGTTTTAGGTGTTTCCTGCCCCAGCCACCCCAGCCTGCTGCAACCCCTCTGTCCACAAAGGAGGTGGGTAACGAGGTACTGAGGGCACTGGCAGCGGCCGAGGCTTTCTTCCAGGAGCAAGGGAAGAGCCAGCCCCACAGAGCGTTGGTGAAAGGAGGGTTTGGAGGAAAACGTAGCAGACTTCTAACGGGCCCCATGGGAAATGCCCCAAGCCCACTCACCATTAAAAATCACTGTCATCACAAAGGCGGGGTGTCCTGTGGGCTGCCAGACCTGAAGAAAGAGCGAGACTCGAGGACTGGTCATGTCTCCTCCTCCCAGATTAACTCTTTTTAGCTCATTGCTTCTCATTTTCACAATTAAATTAACCTTCTGATGGTAGCATTCAGCCACTCTTTATTCCTTCACAATGTAGATATCCAGTGGCAGGGGAGGAGGGAGGCAATGACTCCTAGAAGGGGAAGAAACATAATTTTCTACCTTTTATAGTTCTTAGTTGGGACAGATCCTGTAACAAAAGACAGATTAATAAGATAAGGATGAGCAGAAGCTTATTAACACATGCACCTTGTGTATGTGCAAAGGTAGCCCAGAGAAATAAGGACACGCAGGGGCAGATCTCCAAGAGGCAGTTTGGGGTTTTTTGCTTCTGTTTTTGGGGTTTTCTTTTCTTTTCCTTTTTTTTTTTTTGAATCGGAGTCTTGCTCTGTTGCCCAGGCTGGAATGCAGTGGCAAGATCTTGGCTCACTGCAACCTCCGCCTCCTGGGTTCAAGCAATTCTCCTGCCTCAGCCTTCCAAGTAGCTGGGACTACAGACATATATCACCACACCCAGCTAATTTTTTTGTGTGTATTTTTAGTAGAGATGGGTTTTCACCATGTTGGTCAGGCTAGTCTTGAACTCCTGACCTCAGGCGATCTGCCCACCTTGGCCTCCCAAAGTGCTGAAATTACAGGTGTAATCCACCGCACCCAGCCGTCAGAGGCAGTTTTGACCTCAGTCTGAAACAACAGCATTCCCTACAACGAAGAAGGAAGGGTGTGGGGAGGCACAGTTACGTTGAGTGGGGGGGTGGGGGGGGACAGGGGGGCACTTTAGGCAAGGGGGAGGTATGCTGTGTGGCTTCTCCACTGAGAAGAGACCCAGGGACTTCGGGTCACCCTCATCTTCCTGGTGCAGAAAGGAGACACCCTTAGAGTTGGAGGTTTCTTTTGGAGATCTCAATTCCCCTTATAAAATGGTCACTTCTACTTGGTTTTCAATGCTTTTCTGAGTCTACTGTTTCCCTCAGTAATCACCTCAAAATAACCCTTATGCCAAAGGGGCATGTTAGGGGTGGCACATTCTGGCCTGCTAGTCCTGTTTGGGGTGGCATGTTCTGAGCCCATCACTCTCCTTGCAGAGAGGCCCCTAGAGTTATGCTTCATCTTATCACTCCGACCACCCCCCTTTCTATTGCTTATGCATTCCCTGAGCCCTCCCTGCTAAAGAAAATTATTCTGGCACTCATTAAAACCGGTAAGGAAGACTCTTCCCAACAGGAGTCAGGACCATCGCGAGGGACGAGAGAGGGGGTGAGATTCTGAATACGGCAGACAGTGGGGATCGCAGCCAATGAGAAGGGTTGGGGTGGCGAGTGGAAAGTCGCTTGAGGTCCTGGGTTTCTTGCTGAACTGACCCCACGAGATGCTTGCCAAAGACGGGCTAAGGACTGAGACATCAAAGAAAGGAGAGGAACTCAATCAGAAGTGGCGGGAGATTGGGCTTCTAGGCCAGGGGATTCCTGCCAAACTGATTTTGCAGGATTCTCGCAGAAACAGGGCCAGGCAGGCCTGAGACTGGATGGGTTGGGAGGGTGATGGTGGAGACCTGGGTAAAAGTCGAGGCCTAATTGAGAAGAGGGTTCAGAGGAGTCTGACCCAAGGGCCTGGTCCGGGGAGCACTGGTAGGACAGGGCTGTGTGCTGGAGTGCGGCCCCCAAGCCGGATGATGGATGGGATGGGGCAGAGGGGCCCTGGCGAGGACGGGTCTGGCCTTGAGGCTTCATCTCTTTAGCCACAGCTCCCTTTTGAAGATTCTCTGTCTTTAGTGCTCCCAGAAGCCAGCTGGGCCAGGCCGGGTGGGGGAGAGCGGCTGTCAGAGCGTCTGCAGGGCAGGTGCCTGCAGGCTGTTGAATGACCTCATGTAGCCATCGTCACAGGGCCGTGGGTCACACAGACCTCCCTTTCTCAGGCAGAACCCAGCGGGGTGATGTCAGACAGGACAGCCTCGTCCCCAGTGGCGCCTGTTCCTTGAGTCTCTGCTCGAGAGCCCGTCAAAAGGTCCTTTGGGACCGTCCCAGCAGTGCCAGGCTGTCTGGCCAGGGGGCTTGCTCTGCATGGGGCTTGGCCCCCACAGTAAAGAGCATCCTTAGACAGTGGGGCCCGGTGGACGCTGAGCACAATGGCCTTGGGACGGCAGCTCGGAGACACAAGTTCACATCAAGGGTAACCTCATCTCAGGAACAAAGGCACCCCTCAGGACGGGCCTGAGGCCGGCCCCCACTTCTGCTGTGAGGTTCTGTGGGGTGTCGAACCCAGGCCCATCCCCTCTCCTAACTTGGATTTCTCAGTCTGAATGATGACAGGTCTGACCAGCTGTGTGGCTTTGAGGCTCTGCTCCCTGGCACGGGCCTCCTTGGGGCCCCCACCCTGCCTGGTCATCCTGAGACCCTCTGTGTGGCCTCCAGGGATGTCGCGGCTCTGTGCGGATGTTATTTGGCTGGAAAATCCCGCTGCAATAAAAGCTCTGAAAAGCATGGGCCCCAGCAACCCCCACGGTCTCCGGGGCGATGAGTCAGGCCAAGCCCCACAGTCCACCACCGCTCCCGCCGTGGACTTTCCCGTAAACATGGGGTGGGGCGTTAGATCCCACTAATTGTTGAGATGCCCGTATTAAAATAATGAGATACTCCTTTTTTCCGCTGGGATAAAAAGGTAAAAAGGAAGTGTGAGCCCCATGTTGGTGAGAAGTCAAGGACACAGGCTTCTTATGCGGCTAGTGGGGGTGAAAATTGGGAAATTGCCAGAAAAATCTCAAGAGCCCTAAACGTGACCCCACTCTTTGAGCCAAGACTCCATTTCCAGGAAGTATGTGCCCGTTGTGTGCAATGGAGCCCTTGCAATGTTATTTAGAAATAAACAAAATGTTAGAAAGATCAGGAGAGGATGCCAGGTGCAGTGGCTCATGCCTGTAATTCCAGCACTTTGAGAGGCTGAGGTGGATGGGTCACCTGAGGTCAGAAGTTCAGGACATGGTGAAACCTCGTATCTACTAAAATAGTGTGGGCCGGGTGCAGTGGCTCACGCCTGTAATCCCAACACTTTAGGAGGCCAAGGAGGGCAGCTCATGAGGTGAGGAGATCGAGACCATCCTGGCTAACGCGGTGAAACCCTGTCTCTACTAAAAATACAAAAAATTAGCCAGGCATGGTGGTGGGCGCCTGTAGTCCCAGCTACTCGGAAGGCTGAGGCAGGAGAATGGCATGAACCTGGGAGGCGGAGCTTGTAGTAAGCCGAGATGCCACCACTCCACTCCAGCCTGGGCGACAGAGCGAGACTCCATCTCAAAAAACAAAACAAAACAAAACAAGACTGGATGCGGTGGTACATGCCTGTAATCCCAGCTACTCAGAAGGCTGAGGCACGAGAGTCTCTTGAACCTGGGAGGCAGAGGTTGCAGTGGGCTGAGATCACGTAACTGCACTCCAACCTGGGCGACAGAGAGACTGTCTTAAAAAAAAGAAAGAAAGAAAGACCAGGAGAGGAGTGGAGAGATAAAATTCTTATCTATCCATTTTGTGTAGCCCTTAAAGTTGCATGTTTTGATATTTAATTAACTGAGGAAATGTTCAAGACATTTTTAAGCAAATATGTAGGATATGAAATTGTGTCTGTGGGCTGGGTGTAGTGGCTCACACCTGTAATCTCAGCACTTTGGGAGGCTGAGGCAGGCAGATTGCTTGAGCCCAGGAGTTCGAGACCAGCCTGGTCAACATAGTGAGACCCCATCTCTACAAAAAATGAAAAATTAGCTGCGTGTGGTGCTATGCACCTTTAGTCCCAGTCACTTGGGAGGCTGAGGCAGGAGGATTGCTTGAGCCCAGGAGGTGGGGGCTGCAGTGAGCTGTGTTTGCACCACTGCATGCAGGCTGGGTGACAGAGTGAGACCCTGTCTCAAAAAAAAAAAAAAAAAGAAAGATTGTGTAAGTACACTGAACCCCTTCCATTTGTAGGTACACCTATACTAGAAGGCAGCCAACAAAAAGCGAGTGATAGATTAGAAATTATTTTGATTTCATTTACACTTTTTAAATGATTTCTATAACTTTTAATAAGAGACATCTATTACTTTTTTTTTTGAGACAGAGTCTCTCTTTGTTGCCCGGGCTGGAGTACAGTGGTACAATCTTGGCTCACTGCAACCTCTGCCTCCGGGGTTCAAGCGATTCTCCTGCCTCAGCCTCCCAAATAGCTGGGATTACAGGCGCCCCCCACAACGCCTGTCTAATTTTTATATTTTTAATAGACATGGGGTTTTGCCATGTTGGCCAGGCTGGTCTTGAACTCCTGGCCTCAGGTGATCCACCCACCTCGGCCTTCCAAAGTGCTGGGATCATAGGCGTGAGCCACCTCGCCCAGCCCTATTACGTTTATGGCCATATATATTTTTTTAAATTTATAAACAAGAAATGTTTTCTATGCATTCACGCATGTAACCCAGTCACCATCTCTCAGAGCTCCGAGTTGCTGCTGTGTCCTCAGAAAGGAGCCGCCATGAAATCTATGTGACCCCGAGGGCTTTGCAGGCAGGAGATGAAATAAGTTCCTTCACTGCACACACACTTTTCAGCCCCTACCATGTGCTAGCCTGTATGTCTTGTTTGTGGGATACACGAGTTGGCTGCAGCCTTCACCTTCGTGGGAGTGGCAGGTGAGAGATGGAGACGCAGCCATGCATCTAGCAGAGGGTGTGTGAACGCGATGCCAGTCCGTCGCAGGGGGTAGCAGTTCAGACTGGGTGTGTGAGTGCAGTGCCAGCCCATCGCGGGGGCGGCGGGTCAGGCTGGGTGCTTGAGCGCGGTGCCAGTCCATCGCGGGGGCGGCGGGTCAGGCTGGGTGTGTGAGCGTGGTGCCAGTCCGTCGCGGGGGTGACGGGTCAGGCTGGGTGTGTGAGCGCGGTGCCAGCACATCGCGGGGGGTGGCAGGTCAGGCTGAGGCTCAGGGAGGCCCCAGGAGGTGCAAGTGCCCCGGGTTCTGAAGGATGGAAGGTGGGCAGAGAGAGCTGACATTCACTGAGTCCCCCATGCACGAGAAGGGTTGCACTAATGCAACTAACATTTATATACAACAACTCACAAAGCACTTTTCTGATGCTTTATTACCTCTGCTTAATTTTATTAAATTCATGCAGTGACCTGACAAGGTAGAATTCGTATTAGCTCATTCTTAGGTGGAAAAAATAAAATAAAAAAGAAAACCAAAGACTTGGGGCAGTTTGAGGTTGAATTAGAAGAGACCAGAGTGCCAGGGATGTTGGGGGTGCTTGGTGCTGGGTGACCTTGTTATGTTGATGGTAGTGGCTGTTGACATGGGTGGCTGGGCAGAGCTGACAGCTAGAGAAACTGAGGCACAAGAAGCTGCAGAGATTGAGTAAATTAGTGACAGGGCTGGGCCAGTGTTTGAGCATTGTGCCCAGCTCCCACTGAACACACCTGTTCTTCACCCCATACCCTAAGGAGCAGGCCCACTTCCCAGCTGAGGTTCGCTCTTCCCACCTTTCAGCTTAGAACCCTGCCCCCCAAGTCCTCCTCCCCAAGGCTGGTTCCCACCCAGGTTGCAGCCCCAGCTGTCTCTGCAGGTGGGCCCAGCCGTTGCCCTCAACATGCAGGCAGTCAATCCTACATCCTAGCCAGGGACTTGAAACCCCTTCAGACACCACCTCCTCAGAGAAGAATCTTCCACCTGCCCCCCAGGTTCCTCAAGACCCTACGCCTCCTCCTGTGGGAACAGTTGTGCACAGCAGCCATTTCCCTATTTATTTCCTGCCTCCATCCCCCAACTGGGCTGTGAGCCCCTGGGGGCGGGGACTGGGATCTGGGTACCCACTGCCCGGCACTAACTCCAGCACAGAGAGGATGCTCAGGGACGCTTGAAGGGTGGAGTCCGAGTGCACATCTGTACATGTCCTGCTCCCTCTTCTGTGTTTCCACACAGGCCCCTGCAACGTGGAAAATAACTCTAATCATTTCCCTCTTGGGAATTTGTCAACAGGTTCCTCCATCTGGCATCCGGCGTGTCGACAAGCAGCCAGAACTGAAGACAGAAACAAGGTTGGTGGCATTTACTGGTGTCTCTGATGTCCTCTTCACTGCTCCTGCACAATCTCTGTACAGTTAACAGGACACTGACCAGGTTCTACAGGCTCGTTGTGCAGTCCCACAGGCTGCAGGATGGGGGCAGCGAGGCTTAGGAGGTGGGGAGGGTAAACAGGTAGACAGCTGAGCAATACTACAGGGGGAACAAGGGCATCTTTGTTTTCTATGGATACACAGGCTAGGTAATC